AAATCAAAGACTTAAATAAGGGAAGAGGTATGTCTATTCATGCATTTAAAAACTCAGTATTGTTAAGGTGTTAGTTCTCTTGGAAATGGTCTATAGTCATCATAAGTGGACGCCCAGTCTCTTCAGTCATGTCTGACTCTTTGCAACCCTATGGACTGTGGCCCACAGGCTCCTGTGTCCCTGGGATTCCCCAGACAAGAATACGGATGCAGGTTGCCATGCCCACTCCAGGGGATCATCCCAACCCAGGGCCTAAACCCAAGTCTCTTATGTCTCCTTCATTGTCAGGCAGGTTCTTTACCTGTCATAATCCTAGTCAAAATTCTGGGAGAAATTTTTGTAGCTATCAGTGGATAGCTTTTAACTACCAATTGATTCTAAAATCTATATAGGAAAGAAAACAGAAGAACTAAAATAGCTACAACAGTTCTGAAAACAGAAAAGTGGGAGAACTCACACTGCCTGATTCTAGTACCTACCGTAAAGCTCCAACAGACAAGACAGTGTACACAGCACAGATGGTTCCCAACTTACAATGCTTCAGCTTATGATTTTTTTTTTTATTTTATGATGGCGGAAAAATGATACCCATTCAGTAGAACCCAGACTTTGAATTTTGAATTATGATCTTTTCCTAGCTTAGTGATACATTCTCAGTTGTGATGCTGGGCAGAGAGCCAAAGCTCTCAGTCAGCCAGGCAATCAGGAGGGGAAACAACCAATACACTTACAATCGTTCTGTACCCACAGCATTCTGTTTTTACTTTCAGTACGCTATTTGATAAATTATATGAGATATTCAGCACCTTAATATAAATTAGGCTTTGCATTAGATGATTTTGCTCAACTATAGGCTAGTGTAAGTGTTCTGAGCACATTGAAGGCAGGCTGGGCTAATCTATGATATTTGGTGAAGAAAGTGAAGTCGCTCAGTCATGTCTGACTCTTTGCTACCCTGTGGAGCGTAGCCCACACAGGCTCCTCTGTCCATGGGATTTTCCAGGCAAGAATACTGGAGTGAGTTGCCATTTACTTCGCCAGGGGATCTTCTTAACCCAGGGATCGAACCCAGGTCTCCCTCATTGCAGGCAGATGCTTTAACCTCTAAGCCATGTTTGGTAGGTTAAGTGTATTAAATGTATTTAAATTTACAGTATTTTCAACTTACAATGGGTTTTTCTGGACATAACCTCATTGTAAGTTGAGAAACATCGTATTTGCAAAAGGTAGATACATAGATCAATGGAATAGAATAGAACATCCAAAAATTTTTGGAAGAGAAAATCAAAATGGATCATAAGCTTCAATGTAAGGTATAAAAGCTGTAACACTTTCAGTAGAAAGCATAAGAGAAAACTTTTGTGACTTGGTTAGGCAAAGATTTTTTTCAGATACCACACCTAAAGCACAATCCATAGTAGAAAAAACTGGCAAATTTGGCTTAAAGTAAAAATTTTGTTTTCTCCTAAAGACACTTAACAGAATGAAAAGGCAGGTCACAAACAGGGAGAAAGTATTTGTAGATCACAAAGGGAAAATATCAATATAAAAACAGACAAAACTCACTTTAGGAAAACAAGCTCAACAATAAAAAGGTGGGGGGGGGGCGGGCACGTGCTTTAAACATGTTACCAAAGACAATGAAAGAGTGAATATTATGCTATGGAAATTTTAAAAATATATTGAGGAAAAAATACAAATACATCAGAACAAATCATTTGACTGAATTTGAAGTAGGGAGAGTGCCTTCCTCTGTTATCATACTGTCTTATGGTATTTTAAAATCGCTACACAAATAAGCGTTTTTAATGTTGTATATTGCATCCCATATGGGTCTGTCCCTGTTTCCACGTTCAGATCTAATTAATATACTTTAGTCTACTTGTACCATTTATTTTACGTATCTTATTTCTCTCTTAATCTGAAAGCCTCCTGCAGCATTTCTACTTTATTTTAGCCACAGATTCCACAAATCAGCTCTCTGGAAAGAACCCATTTCCCCCCACTATTGTCACTATTTAGTATTTTTCCTTGCTATCTCTCATTTGTTTTCTCATCAGCAGCTGTTTTATTTCGTTTTTCTCAGCCTCACTGCGTGCTGTCTCTTGATTTTAACGCGGGGTGGCTGACGGTGAGTGGCTGGTATCTGTGGGAGGAGGAAACCGAGTGGGTGCCTGAGGCAGATGGGCTGTGTGGGTGGGATGCAGTGATTCATTTTTTTTCGTGTGTTGATTTTTGATATAGAAATGTTAAGGACCCCAGAAGAAAACTCTCTATTTGTATTAGAGAGCCTTGAAGTCATGGCTAGCCTTGAAAAGTATCTTTTGAAGCTCCTTTGACTTGCCCTCCCCTTTTATAACCTCACTAAATCTTCTGGGTCTTTAGCTTTCATTTGATCTGATTTATTTCTCCTTCACAGAATGTAGACTCTAATTTCATATTCATTAGATAAGGCCGGCTGTATCAAACAACCTCTTGAGGGTCTGTGTTCCTTTTGTAAAAGGGTTGCACTTCGGTTGCACACAGGTCTTCAATGCTCTTTTTATATTTTGGTGGGTTCCTAAATTACAAAAGTAATCAGTGTTCATAACAGAAGTTGTACAAGATATAGAAGGCATAAAGAGGAAAAGTGATAATTCCATTACACAGTTGTTATCACAGTTTATATTTTGCTGTACAACTTTCCAAAACTTTTTTATTCATGTACATCTATACATATAGAATATATATAATAATCAATTGATTATAATGTATACATTATGTTTTAATGTGTATGCTATACATAATAATGTGTATATTTTACTTTTTTCCTAAATATAGTGTGTGTGTGTTTGTATGTGGTCATTTTTTCTAATAATGTATATTTAGGCCTTTTTCCATTGTTACTGCAAAAATAATATTTCAGTAGATATACGTACAAGTAAATCTGCCACATGTATAGGAATTTTCTCAGGATAAATACTTAGGAATGGAATTATTGAGTCAAAGAATATGCATAATTTTAAGGACTCAAGATCTCCTTAAGAGTTTATACTTCCCCATAGCATGTAAGAATACCATTTCTCTGCATCTTCATTGGGTATTTTGAAATATCTTTGGCCCCTTGATAGGAAAAAAACTTTGTATTGGTTTAGTGTTCATTTATTAGGAGTGAGATGTAGAATATTTTTATATGTGATGTTGCCGTTTTAGTTACACTTTTGTGATTTTACCTGCCTATGTCCACAGCCTAATTTTCTATAATATTGTAATGTTTTATGGTTTCTTATTTGCTTTAAATTGACCAATAAGGGATAAATTGATGCTTTTGAACTGTGGTGTTGGAGAAGACTCTTGAGAGTCCCTTGGACTGCAAGGAGATCCAATCAGTCCATCCTAAAGGAGATCAGTCCTGGGTGTTCATTGGAGGGACTGATGTTGAAGCTGAAACTCTAATACTTTGGCCACCTGATGCGAAGAGCTGACTCATTTGAAAAGACCCTGATGCTGGAAAGATTGAAGGTGGGAGGAGAAGGGGACAACAGAGGATGAGATGGTTGGATGGCATCACTGACTCAATAGAGATGAGTTTGGGTGGACCCTGGGAGTTGGTGATGGACAGGGAAGCCTGGTGTGCTGCAGTCCATGGGGTCGCAAAGAGTTGGACATGACTGAGCGACTGAACTGAACTGAACTGAACTGATAAAGAGATAAGAGATAACAATAAAGATATTAACCTTTCATCTATCACATATTGCACATATTTTAAACAGATTAGTATCACTTGTTAAATTTGTTATATGTTAATATTTTTATTTAAATTTTGAGTAGGATCTATTTATTATATTTTTCAGAAGCTTATTATGATTTTAAAGGAAGTTGTTGGTTTTCATAATTTTGCACCTTGACATCTTGTTAAATTGTATTAATACTTATAATAGTTGTTTAATTGATTCTATTGTGGTTTTTTGGTTGGTAATCCATAACATCTGCAAGTAATGATAATTATTTTATAGAATTATATGTCCATACTTCATTAAATCTTATTGCATCAGTTAGGATTTTCAGATAGTGAACTGGTAGTAAAAATAGTTGACAGCCTCATCTTTTTCCTGATTTTAATGAGAATACCTATAAGTACAAAGCTGTTATGAAATATATATTATTTTTCAATTTAAAGATGTGCCCTTATATTTTCAGTTTGCAGTTATTTTTAATGAAAAGTGGATTCTGAATTTTACATAAAGTACTAAGGACATCTTTGGGAACACTGATGAGTTTTTTCCACTAAGCCATCCTTGCATTCCCCAAATAAATTTTAAATCCATGATCTAGTGTTCTGATAGTATATAGTGCTTGGCGCATTTTGCTCATTTTTCTTTCATGTTTCTGTCTTTGTATATAAATGAGTTTGAAACTAACCTGAATTTTATTTTTGTGACACTGTCAAATTTTGTTACCAAGTTTATGCTACCTTGGTGTTAGTCATCTGTGAAGTTTGGAAGAACTTGTGTCTATAGCTGTTTTCTCTTTCTTAGTCATAATTTCTTCACCTTGGCTTCCTCTTTTTCTTGATTATACTTGGTAAGGACTTGCTAGATATTTATTATAAAATTCAGTTCTGGATTGAGTCATAATTTTACCTGTTTGCTTCTTAAAATCTCATTTTACACTTATTACTTACTGCTGTTTCCCATGGATCTACGTCTGGAAACTTTGTTAACTTATTTTCAGTGTTAAAATTTAACAGAGTGCATTAGCCCCACTTTCCACCATTGCAGACTCTCCTTAGTTTCCAGTAATTACATGATCCTTTTCTTTAAAAAAAAAAAAAAAAGGCAGATTTGCTGCAGTTTGTAAAACCACTTCCGATGGAACGGCTAATTTAAAATTCAGTGGTAAATGAAGAGGGAAAATCCCTATCATTTCCTCTTTGAATACTAAGTTATTGAAACAAAAAAAGTGCTTACTGAGCATTATTTAGGTGTCATCATTTGTGGGACTTTGTTTTCTGTTTTCAGATATCGCCGTGGTGGAGATGAGTGATGCCTTCCGACAACCATCCTTATTTTACCACCTCGGAGTGAGAGAAAGTTTCAGCATGGCCAACAACATCATCCTCTACTGTGATACTAATTCAGACTCTCTGCAGTCACTGAAGGTACTTCACTTCTTTACTAAATATTTACTTTAGGCCCCAGTTTTGGGATACTCTCCGTCATCCAGAAAAAAAAAAATGAAGTAGCATATGTTTGTGGAAGGATGTTATTGTCAGTGGAATAATTATGCAACAGTGACTAGTTACATTGTGAGGTTTATCTGGAATTCAGTGTGGAAATTTGCTGATACACAGCCAGCTAGGGGGAAAACTCAGTGTTGAGTTCTGAGCCCCGGTTGGAGTTGCAGCTGAGGAGACGGTTGTGAACAGGAAGTTGTCAACGCACACACTGGAGAAAGAAGAGGGAACCTAACGCATGGTCAGCGCGCATGCTCTGTCACCACTGGGAGTTTCCTGGGGCACACTTGACTCCCACTAGAAGTCTGCTGTTTACTGAAAGTGCTCTGAGTACAAATTCTCTCTCACCAGAAAATTGCCATCTTCTGTCACTGGAATGATTTCAGTTAAAGTGGGAAGAGGAGGAAGAAAAACACACCATCAGTTCAGTTCAGCTCAGTCACTCAGTCATATCTGACTCTTGGTGACCCCATGAACCGCAGCACGCCAGGCCTCCCTGTCCATAACCAACTCCCAGAGTCCACCCAAATCCATGTCCATCGAGTCAGTGATGCCATCCAACCATCTCATCCTGTGTTGTCGCCTTCTCCTGCTGTCTGTCTTTCCCAGCATCAGGGTCTTTTCCGCTGAGTCAGCTTTTCGCATCAGGTGGCCAAAGTATTGGAGTTTCAGCTTCAACATCAGTCCTTCCAATGAACACCCAGGACTAATCTCCTTTAGGATGGACTGGTTGGATCTCCTTGCAGTCCAAGGGACTCTCAAGAGTCTTCTCCAACACCACAGTTCAAAAGCATCAATGCTTCGGTGCTCAGCTTTCTTTAAAGTCCAAACCTCACATCCATACATGACCACTGGAAAAACCATAGCCTTGACCAGATGGACCTTTGTTGGCAAAGTAATGTCTGCTTTTTAATATGCTGTCTAGATTGGTCATAACTTTCCTTCCAAGGAGTAAGCATCTTTTAATTTCATGGCTGCAATCACCATCTGCAGTGATTTTGGAGCTCCCCAAAATAAAGTCAGCCACTGTTTCCACTGTTTCCCCATCTATTTGCCATGAAGTGATGGGACCAGATACCATGATCTTATATTTGTCTACAAAATTCAGTATGTTTCATGGCATTCTCTCCATGATAGTAACTTAATGATGGGAGGGTATTTTCTCTGTTTAAGAAGATCGCCTAAAATGCTTTTGCAATGCCAAATGATTTTACACTGTATGATTCTTTGAAAATCATCTAACAGTTTAGCATGTAATGCATTCTGAACCTCATAATCAGTCATTTCCTTTGTGAAACTTCCATCTAGCTCTTTGTGGCTTCTTCTCATTCGTCACTTCAGGTTCCCAAATCCAAGCAAACCTTGGTAAAATACAATAAAAATTAATTAAAAAAACCCCAACCTTGGGATGTGGAGTCCTGAAACCCAGAACCATGCTTCTAATCACTTTGGAATTGGTATATGAAGATCTCTAACCCAAAACCCAAGGGAAAAAATTTAGTATCTGAGTATCTAAAGCTTGTATGGCTTTCTCTAAAAAATATGCAGTATCATTTAGCAAATACTTTTTCTGCATGCCAGGCCATTGTGCTGGGGATTGACTGGGTATTCCTTTCCAGAATACTCTGAAACAGCTGTAAGAGATTTTCCCCGTCTGTCTAAATCTGTTTTCCACCTGGAGCAATTCTTTAAGGAAACCCCTACCTAGCAACTAAACAACAGCAAAAATCTTACCCCAGATTTGCCCCTTTAATTAATGTACCATATATTTCATGATGACACATTTTTAATTAAAGAGTTTGATTTAGTACTCTTTGCAACCTATATTAGCAACCAATATTAGCAGGTTGATGAAGAGATTTAGTACTGTTTGAAAGTGAAAGAGGAGAGTGAAAAAGTTGGCTTAAAGCTCAACATTCAGAAAACTAAGATCATGGCATCTGGTCCCATCACTTCATGGCAAATAGATGGGGAAACAGTGGCTGACTTTATTTTGGGGGGCTCCAAAATCACTGCAGATGGTGATTGCAGCCATGAAATTAAAAGACACTTACTCCTTTGAAGGCAAGTTATGACCAACCTAGACAGCATATTAAAAAGCAGAGACATTGCTTTGCCAACAAAAGTCCAACTATGGCTTTTCCAGTAGTTGTGTGTGGATGTGAGGTTTAGGCTATAAAAAAAAAGCTGAGCACTGAACAATTGATGTTTTTAAACTGTGGTGTTGGAGAAGACTCTTGAGAGTCCCTTGGACTACAAGGAGATCCAACCAGTCCATCCTAAAGGAGATTAGTCCTGGGTGATCATTGGAAGGACTGATGTTGAAGCTGAAACTCTAATACTTTGGTCACCTGATGCGAAGAGCTGACTCATTTGAAAAGACCCTGATGCTGGGAAAGGTTGAGGGCAGGAGAAGGGGACGACAGAGGATGAGATGGTTGGATGCCATCACTGACCCAATGGACATGAGTTTAGGTGAACTCTGGGAGTTGGTGATGGACAGGCCTGGCGTGCTGCAGTTCATGGGGTTACAAAGAGTTGGACACAACTGAGTGACTGAAGTGAACTGAACTGCAACTTATATTAGCAAGTTGATGAAGAGGTTATTTTACTCTTTCTATTCTATTTTCTTTGCAGTAAATGCATTTTAAGCAGGCAGTGTTGTGTTGGACATTTTTCACTCTACAGTATTTTTATTCTTGTCCTACTGGTATCTAGTGATTTAATTTTATGCCCATTCTTTCCTAGGGAACTTTTTTAAAATTACATTTGAGAGAAGAGATAAAGCTAATCTTGTCAGAACTTTGTGTGGGACAAATAAACTGATTTATTTGTTTTCAGCCAGCCTTTGTATAAATGTGTTATTGCTATTTGAATAAAATAGTTCTTTAAAGAGGCTTGTCTATCTAAAATATGCTCATTTCTTGTGTACAATACCTAATTGCTGTTTGTTATTGAGCACTTACTATATGCTAGGTACTAAGCCCTTTTGTTATTGTGTTGCCTTTCAGTCACTAAGTCATGTTCAATTTTTTGTGACCTCATGGACTGCAGCACGCCAGGCTTCCCTGTCCTTCACCATCTTCCGAAGTTGGCTCAAACTTATGTCCATCGTGTCAGTGATGACATCCAACCATCTCATCCTCTTCTGCCCTCTTCTCCTTTTGCATTCAATCTTACCCAGCATCAGGGTCTTTTCCAATGAGTCAGTTCTCATCAGGTGGCCAAAGTATTGGAGTTTGGTCTTCAGATTCAGTCCCCCAGGATTGATTTCCTTTAGGATTGACTGCTTTGATCTCCTTGCTGTCCAAGGGACTTAGGAGTCTTCTCCAGCACCAAAATTCAAAAGCATCAATTCTTTGGCGCTTAGCCTTCTTTATGGTCCAACTCTCACATCCATACATGACTACTGGAAAAACCATAGCTTTGACTAGAAGGACCTTTGTCAGCAAAGTGATGTCTTTGCTTTTTAATATGCTATCTAGGTTTATCATAGGCTTCCTTCCATGGAACAAGCATCTTTTAATTTCACAGCTGCAGTCACCATCTGCAGTGATTTTGGAGCCCAAGAAAATAAAATCTGTCACTGCTTCTACTTTTTCCCCTTCTGTTTGCCATGAAGTGATGGGACCAGATTAATCCTTAAAACATCACTTTGAGGTATATGCATGTGTGCATACTAAGTCACTTCATCATGTCTGACTCAGTGCAACCCTATGGACTGTAGCCCACCAGGCTCCTCTGGCCATGGGATTCTCCAGGCAAGAATACTGGAGTGGGTAGCCGTGCTCTCCTCCAGAGAATCTCCCTGACCCAGGGATTGAACCTGTGTCTCCTGAGCTTTGAGGTATATATATACCATCAACAAATTATAGGATTGCAAACTGCAATTCTGACAAATTCAGTCATTTGCCTAAGGTGAGGTAGAAAATTTGGGTCCAGGTCTGCCTGAGTCCAAAGTCTGGCCCCCTTGACCACTAAACTTGACTCCAATTACTTCTGGTTAGAAGGATAGCAGACATTCCTAAGTGTGTTCATTTAGAAAAACCCATCAACCATACGTCCTGAGTTGTTTGATGCAACATCCATCCCTTCTTTTGTCTTCCTCCTTCCAGTAAATGTAAGCTTTTGTTATTTTCTTATGTAGTTTGTACCTGGCCCAAGTATCTGGTTGCAAAGTACAAAGTTCTGGGGTAGAAAGTGTTTTCCTTCAGTCTAACAACCTCCTCTGAGCCCTGGAAGTTCCTTGGGTTCTGCTACTGAGAAAGGTCTGTGTGTGTGTGTGTGTGTGTGTGTGTGTGTGTGTGTGTGTATTTTAATTTTTTAAAATTATTTCTGTTTCAGGTAGTTATAAGTGAAATTGTTATCCCTACCGTCTAGCAACAGACAGGAAAGCTCCTGTGAAATAGGCAAAATAAGAGATATTTATAAATAATATATTATATATGGATTAGGTAAATAAAATAAAAATGAAGTATCTCCCTGTTTTCACAGGGCAAGACAGAATGAGAATGGTATTCTTGTTGCATATCTAGCTTCACTCAAATTGGTTCTTTGGACATCTAGAAAGTACACCTGTACCAGTTTTATTTTCATCTACTGTTCTTTGTTGAAAAGAATTGTTTCTCTTTGGCAGCAAATTCTTGGGAAGAAATCACAGGAAGTTTTTTTTTTAAAGTTAAAGCCCCTGATAGATAGGAACCATACAAGTACTTAAAATCTATGTCTCAGTTTTCAAATGAAAGGATATTAGACTCTAATCAGATCATGTATTTGCAATAGAATTTGTATCAGTTTTAAATTACAAGTACTCTCTCACTGTAGCAAGAATGAAATAGTTTTTTTCAAAAAGAAGATCATCATTCCCTTTTGAGAAAGGGAAGTTGATAGATATTTTTTTCCTTAGCAAATAGGAAAAAATTTAT